GTAAGGAGATCTTCAGGCCTTTCTTCCTAGTCCGTCTTAGTCTGGAAACTCTGCTGAAACTTGTTCAGCATCATAGCAATACACCTGGCTTCACTGACAGACAGGTTGTAGCTGTGCTGGAGGTGCACCGGCCGGGAATTAAACCCGGGTCTCTTGCATGGACGGTGAGGCTTCTACCACTGAACCACCACTGCCTCCTGAGAATGTACCATGTGACCCAGCAATTCCACTCCTAGGTATCTCCACAAGAGAAGTGAAAACACAGCTACTAAAAGACCTGCATGTGAATGTCCAGGGCAGCATTATTCATTACCAGCCAAAAACTGGAAACTAGCCCATCAACTAGTGAATGGATACACAAAACGTGGTGTATCATACAATGTGATAGTACTCAGCAATAAAAAAGAACAAAGTACTGATACAGAGTGAACCACCAGTTTTTTTCTCCCAGTCTGTCCTAGACTCTTTTGTAAAACACAATAAAAATATCTTGAAGATGTCAAGCTGCTCTAAAGCTTCTAAATGCTTACTCTCATCGCTTTATTATCTCATTGCACACTCGTAACTATTTGCAGGCCAGCAGTGATCTATGGACTCCACTTTGAGTATCAAAACCAAAAACCAAATCTACTGCCGTCAAGCTGATTCAGACTCACAGTGACCCTACAGGACAGAGGAGAACTGCCCCCTAGGGTTTCCAAGGCTGTAATCTTTACGGAAACAGACTGCTGCATTTTTCTCCTATAGAGCAGGTGGTGGATTCAAACCACCGAGTTTTTTTTTAGCAGCTGAGTGCTTTAACCACTGTGCCACCAGGGATCCCTACACTTTGAGCAGCACCAACATAAAGTATGGTAAAGATGACTAAAAATAGGTACTATCCAGTCTTCAAACACATCCATTCAATTAACAAATATTTATCATGAATCCACGTACTAGATAAATACCTTACGAGTGATCCTGTGGAATGTCTGATTCTAAGGAACAGTTTCTGTATGACTCAGCCGTAAATCAAGAGCCATGTATTCCCAGGTAGCTAAAAAGAGGTGGCTTGCTAAATGGAGTTATTTTTAATTGACCACGTATATTTTGGTGAACAATTTTAATTTGACATATTTGTCTAAATCTTCCAACAGTATCTTAGCATCAACTCCTTTATGTTCCTACCGCATACTCCTAAATTCATCTGTTAACAAGTATCTACTGATAGCCTACTACTACTCTGGACACCAAGTATACAGTGGAGAAGAAAACAGAGTACCTCCTCCCCAATATTCTGCCCTCAGAGAGCTTATATTCTAATAGGGGTAAGGGACAGTAGACAAAATGAATATGTAAAATATATTTTAGATGGTGATAAGTGCTATAGAAAAATTAAGCTGGATGGGGGTAGGAAGGGCGAGGCTGATGAAAAAGGAGTGGAGGTAGACAGCAGATTTTATACTTTTAAACAGGGTGGCCAGAGAAGGTCTCATGGAGGAGGTAACATTGGAACAAAAATCTGAAGTAGGTGACAAGCAACCCAGGAAATGGGGGAAGAGTGCTGTTGACAGAGAAAAAGCACAAAAGCCCTAAGGTAGAAGCATGCTTTAGGAAACAGGAAGGAGCTAGGTGCCATCTAGTCAATTTCAACCCATAGTGACCCCATGTGACAGAGTAGAACTGGCACAGGGTTTTCTAGGATGTAATCTTTACGGAAGCAGATAGCCAGGTTTTTCGCTTGCAAAGCCGCTGGCTGGGTTTGAACCACCAACCTTTTGGTGAGCAGCAGGGTGCTTAACCTGTTGCACCATCAGAGCTCCTTAGGAATGTGAAAGCACTTACTATTTTCACACTTCAGTAACAGCATTTCACAATTATACTAAAATCCTCCATTAGGCTCCCAGTGCTCTGAGGACAGAAATCATATCTTACTCATCTTCATATCCCCAACCCTTACTATTGAGTGATGAGATGGTTTGAGCTGTGGTATTTTGTATTACATTATGATAGTACAAACATGAGCACTGCCTCAACCAATATTCCCCAATAAACCAGCTCCTGTATGTTGTATGACTATGAAAACACTGCTGCTTACCCAATTAGCAATCCCAGTCATTCTAGACTCTTCCTCCTTCTTCACTCTCAATATTCAGTCGTGACTAAATCCTGTCAATTCTTGTCATCATTATCCAAAAAACTGTTGCTGTCAAGACAATTCCGACTCCTAGTGACTCTACAGGACAGAGCAGAACTGCCTCATAGGGTTTCCAAAGAGTAGCTGGTGGATTCGAAATGCCAACCTTTTGGTTACCAGCTGAGCTCTTAATCACGGTGCCAGTAGGGCTCCTTCATCATTATACCCAAAAACCAAACCTATTGCCATCGAGTCGATTCTGACTCATAGCGACCCCGCAGGACAGAGCAGAACTGCCCCCAAAAGGTTTCCAAGGAGCAGCTAGTAGATTCGAACTGCTGACCTCTCAGTTAACAGCCAAGCTCTTAATCACTGTGTCACCAGGGCTCCATTTTATTTATTTTTTAATTCTATAAACTCTACCCCATAGGATTTCCAAGCAGCAGCTGTTAGACTGGAACTGCTGAACTTTCGGTTAGCAGCTGAGCTCTTAACCACTACGCCACCGGGGCTCGTCTTCATCACTGTCCCAATGCCGTCGAGTTGATTCCTTTACAGTAGGCCCCAAATGGTCTCCTCTGCCCCAGCCTTTCCTCCTAAACAGATAATTCAAATCGAGGTCAACTTGCCTTCATTTCTGTATATACTAATTTAAAATTCTTGACCTTATTTTATATGCAGCCTGTATATTTATAAAACTTAAGCCAATCATTACAAATGTCTATTCACAGTTGACACTGGTGGTTTTTATAATTAGGGGAGTATTTCGCATCATGAGGAGCCCTGGTGGCACAGTGGTTAAGCACTCAGTTGCTAACAGAAAGGTCGGCAGTTCAAACCTACCAGCCGCTCTGCAGGAGAAAAATGTGGCAGTCTACTGTAAAGACTTACAGCCTTGGAAACCCTGTAGGGCAATTCTTCTTTGTCCTATAGGGTCACTAAGAGTCGGAATTGACTTGACAGCAATGGATTTTTTTGGTATTCTGCATCATGAAGTTCAAAGGTTAGTATTGAGACTCAACAACAGATTTGTATGTGCCTATTACCTTCATTCACAAGTTTCTAGAAATTCCAACTAAACAGCTTACATATTCAATTTTGCTTTGTAATTTCAATTGGACATGGTATTCTTCACTTTCCATTGTGAGGGCTGCTGCGGAAGTGACAACAGCTGCTAGGTCCCACGCCACCACAAGTGAGAGACAGCTTTATGTTTCCGAGTATGCAGTTTTAAGTTAACATACAGACTGAGTACACACAGGTGCTCACTTTCCAACTGGCTACAGCATGGAAGGCTATGATCTCTGGTATCAAAGGAAATCCTCTAACTGTCCAATTCACTTATAGAATTACCCTGTCCGTGCATGTTAAATAGAGCATCTTAAGTACTATGTAGTAGAGAAGACAGGATTTGGAATAAAAAAATCTCAGATTTTAGTGGTATAGTTTTGTGACCCTGGGGTAAGCTGTTTAACCTGAGCTTCAGTTTCCTCATTTTGTAAAATGAGAATAATATTCTCACTGCGTAGCTGTAGGAACACATAAAATCATTTGAAAGCGTAAAACAAATTCTACTAGCTGATACATATGGCAAAACGGCCAAGAGCACAGGGCTTTTTGAAACTACAAGCAACTGAAAGTCAGCAGGATTGGGGAGAGAACATCTATACACTTAAATTATCTTAATGATCAGATAAAAACAAGAACTATTGTGGGGAGAGAATAAGAATTTAGATCTTCCAAGTACCAATTCTGCATTCTTTCCAGAAGACACTAAAAAAAAAAAAGAAAGATTTTTCTCACCCATGTTTCATACTTAGTAAAACCTCCAACGATAACTTGTTTTAAACCAGGAATTAATGCCATCAGCTTACAAACAATACCATTTTTGTGGACAGTTCTTATTTTCAGTAAAATGTGCAAGACACCAGGCAAAATTTTACATTTACATAAATCTTGTCTTTTATTTTTAAAAACATTCCTGAAGTTTTTTTTTTTTCTTCCGGGAAACCAGAAAGGAAAGAGCTGTGACTTGGGCTGAGTAAGGAAACTGGTACTCACGTGTACCCTGCAGCTATACATTATACACAGGAAAAGGAGGAGGGGCCAAGGAGGGAGTGGTGGCTCCCGTGCGCGGTGTATTAATTCACATTTTGCTCTCTTCCGTTCACATCCTGCGCGGACTCCACCCAAAGCAACTTTGCGAAGGGGTAGGTAGGACTCACAGCCTAGCAAATAACAGTCCCAGAAAGCGAAACGGAGTCCAGATGAATTGTGAAAACACGGTTCACTAGAAAGAGGTGGAGAAGGGGCGCGAGGAGAGCCTTCTTTTGGCAGGAGCGGCATCCTTGGCCTTGTTGCTTCCTAGGGGTGCCCCCTCCCCTCAATCGCAACTAGCTCCCTCCGGTCGTACACATGGGAGGAAGAAGACACTCGCACAGGGCAAGGCCACCCAGCCCTGGAACGTGGGCCAAGAACACCCAACTACTCCTCAGAAATTTTAAAAGAGAAATTGAGGGGCGGCAACCAGAGAGAGGCGGAGGAAAAAGAGAAAAGGAAACTGACTGTGGAGTGGGGGACCCGTGAGACGGTGGGAAAGAACTAAGTCCGGAACCTGTTAGGGCCGGCGCCCCAGGAGAGAACCGCTACCTGTTGAATAGAACTGGCCCGGCGGAGGGGGAAGAAGGGCGAGGTACCCCAGAGAGCGGATCCGTTGTCTCCAGAGCAGCCTCTCCGGGGCCAGTGGGATCTCAGCCCTAGTGCCTGCAGGGCCCCACCCTGAGAAGCCTTGGCTGCAGATACAGTGATGAGAGACACCCACAGAAAAAAGGTGGAGGCGGCCGATTGGAGCCGGGCTGGCCCGCTCCCGCGGTTAGTCACTCACATCTGATATTCGTCTATCGCCTCCACCAGCTGGCCCCAAGAGTCGAAGTCGGCGCCTCTTCTAAAACTGGCGCCCCAGCGCTGCAGCAGACTCCGGGTCACCTCCGACATGGCCGGTCCCCACCCCGTCCCCTCCCGCCCCTACCCCTCCAAGGCTGGGCTCTAGGGCGCCATCCTTCCCGGGCCTGGCCCCGACATTAACAGGGCCAGGAGGAAGCACTACGGTCACCACCGCCACACGCCGAGGAGCCGCCCAAGCCCATTTGCCGCCACAGCCAAACTTTACGGCTCCAAAGAAGCCGCCCCGCGGAAGCCCCGCCCCCGATTCCCCGCCCCGCGTTAGGTTGAGGCCGCCCCATCCACCGAGCGGTAGCCATCGTTATTGCGGCATCTTCCTCGGCTTGAGAGGCCGGTCCAACTCCTGTCCTTCGCTCTGAGGAGGGACCACAGCTCAAGAGGGAAAACCAGGGAGGAGAAGTTAGGAACGGGCTGAAGAACGGAGTGTTCTGAAGGGGCTGCGAAAATCCGGCAGCCTCTGCCCCTAAGCGGCGCGCGCCGCCGCCTCGGTAGCTGTCATGGCCGCCGGGCCCACGTGACTCGGGCTCAGTCTGGCCTGGTTTCCTGTCGCTCTAGTTCGGTAGCCCGGGTTCTCCGACTCCCTCGTTTTCTCGCTTGTGGGATCGGACATTGCATTTCTTCCCTGAAGAAGACTGCCGTACAAACTCTGAGAAATCCAGTAAGTATGTCATGAGGTGGGCGTTTCCCAGATATATTCCTCCCCATGTAGTTTCCCCGGATTCCCAAGCAGTAGGTCACCCCTTTTACACCAGTCTCCGTAGACCGCCTGGGCAAAAACCAGAAAGTCCCCTTCTATTGCCTTGAAACAAACGAAAGAAAGAAAAGCCACATTGACCACGAATCAGCGGTGTTAACTGCTCGATTTGCCGAATTCCCTTGCCCCGGCGTCTCCACTGGTAGTTGAAAGTCTTATAAGCTAAGTAGGGGTTCATTCGGTCGTCGTCTACCCGCTTCGCCTGGGTTGATAATATAGGTTTTCTACAAAAATGTCTGCTGGGAAAGAGGAGCACTCTGTAGTTGGCGCCTGCGTATAATTGCCGTCAGCCGCCTCGGACCGGATCTGGGCACTGGGACAGGAAGAGGCAGGGTGGTAAACAGGAAGTGGACGCTCAGGTAGGTTCCTCGGGGGACTCCGGGTTTCTAGAGTAAGGACCTGTAGTCAGGAATGGGAATCTTTCTGTGGAATGGGGTTAGGTGGCCACCTCGATTCGCATCTTGAACTGGTGGCTCCTAAGGCACTCTCGCACCTGCGATTGGGTGCGTCGTTCTTCCACCCTATCCTCCGAATTCCTGAAGACAGAAGAGTGTGGGGTCGCAGAAGGAGAAGAGGCAGGGACAGAAAATACTGTACTTGGTCTCTTACCCTCTTCATTCCTGCAGTAAAGCTATACAAAACTTGAGGCTTTTTCGTCCAGGAAGTGGAGGCCACCTTAATATGAAGTATTTATAGAAATTTTTTCATTCATGAAATCAAATTCTTGATTTATATGTAAGTATATGGTGTATGGAAACCCTCGTGGCATAGTGGTTAAGAGTTCCGCCACTAACCAAAAGATCGGCAGTTCGAATCTACCAGGCTGTCCTTGGAAACCTTATGGGGCAGTTCTCTGTCTTACAGGGTCGCTGTGAGTCGCAATCGACTCGATGTCGATGGGTTTGTTACATGATATATTGGTTTACTTAGGTTAATGGAGGTTTTACATAGAAGGTATTTAGATAATATTTTTTAAAAGGGCTGGTTTAGTGTTTGAGTCAATTTTTTGTTGGATATGCAGTGCATTTCCTGTAAATATCTGGTGCCCCAAAACCATTTTTATCATGAATAAGTAAGTGTAAAGGAAATGCTTGAAGTCGATATTTCATTCACTGTGAAGCTCACATTTATTCTAATAATAAGAACACAAGTCAGTTGACAACTTTGTATAATGCTTCAATTAAGTAGAGGAGCCCTTGAAAGTTTAAAAAATCATTGCTCTAGTATATTTAGTGGAGCCCTGGTGGTTCAGTGGTTAAGAGATACGGCTGCTAACGAAAAGATTGGCAGTTGGAATCCACCAACCACTCCTTGGAAACCCTATGGGGTACTTCTAGTCTGTCCTGTAGGGTCACTGTGAGTTGGAATCAGCTCCACGGCAGTGGGTTTTGTTTTGTTTTTTTTTTTTTTTTTTTTTTTAGTATATTTAGCTTTGCAGTTACTGTGGGAAGATTTCTAAGTGCTTTTTTTTTTTTTTTAATAGGCCTGGTGTAAATATAAAACTAGTTGCCTTCAAGTTGATTTCAGCTCATGGTGGCCCCATGTGTATCGAAGTAGAACTGTGCTCCATAGGGTTTTCATTGGCTGATTTTTGCCCAGCCTTTCTTCCAGGGCACCTCTGGGTGGTCTTGTACCTCTAACGTTTCAATTAGCAGCCAAGCATTTTAATCGTTTGCACCACCCAGGGACTGCTGATCTAAATATACCCCCAAAAAGAAAAAAAAAAAAATTTGCCATCAAGTTGATTCTGACAAATAGAACTGCCCCGTCGGGTTTCCAAGCTGTAATCCTTACGGAAGCAGACTGCTGCATCTTTCTCCCATGGAGCGTCTGGTGGGTTCGAACTGCCGACCCTTTAGTTACCAGCCAGCCATCAGGGCTCCTGATCTAAACGTAGACTACCTTAAATAGACAACCAATAAAAACAAGATTTACTTGTGGCAATGAAGTATTTGTTGTATATATATGCATACATATATGCATATACATGTGTGTGTATATGTATATACAGTGTGTAGATATTTAGATAGTCTAAACGCACACATATATCCTGTAGTAATTTATTTTATTTTAAAGGTAGTTCTTTTATATTGTCTACATTACTCATTAAATGTTTTATCTTTAACTTTTATACATTTTTTTTTTTAAATCTATAGAAAACATTTGGGGAAAATGACCCATTGGTTTCATAGGAACCCTTTAAAAGCCACAGCTCCTGTATCTTTTAACTTCTTTGGTGTAGTCACTGGCCCTGCTGCTTCAAAAATTTGCAAGTAAGTTTTATTCAATCTCAAGCATTGATTGAACCACTCCTGGATACCAGGTCTTGGATACCAGGTCGTTTTTTATATCCCGTGGGCAGTACAGAAATATGTACCACACCGGCCTTACCTTTAGACTCTTTATGAACTTATAAATGGCATGTGAAGAGTTGAATTACAGATTCTTTAAACTTTAGCGGTTGTGTAGGCCAGAGTATTTTCAGTTCAGTAAACTAAGTCCTAAAGAGGCTAAAGCAATCACAATAAAAGACTTAAGCAGAATATTACATCAGTACAAGAAAGGCCACAAAGTAGTATATGGATATTGTTATTTGGTCTGGTAGAAAATTCATTGAGTTCAGAGCAGGGAGGGGTCCCAGTGACCTGGAGTGGCCTTGAAAGCATCCGTATAAAAGGAAGCACTTGAGCTGGCGTTTAGATCAGGGATTGGCAAACTGTGGCACAGAATTGGGCCACTCCCTGTTTGTGTAAAGAAACAGAGGGGAAAGGAGAAAATCATTATGTCTGGAAAATCTGTGTTCTAAGGATAGTAAGTAAAAGACAGATACAAGAAATTATTTCAAAGGTAGAATCAGCTGGCCTGATGGACTGATTTGTTCTAGGAATTTGGAAAGAATTCAGTCTGTTTGAGGTACAGAACGTAGGTGATCAACACATTGGGGTACCAGTAAAGGAAAATGAAGAGAGTTGCTGCCTTTTTTGAAATAAGTGATTGGTGCAAAGGGTAGGAAAACTGGCTTATTAATTAACCTAGACCAGAGATGATTGTGAGGATGGCGCAGGACCAGGCGTTGTTTCGTTCTGTTGTAAATAGGACCACTGTGAGTCGAAAGTGACCCAGTGGCACCTGACAACAACAGACTGAAGATAGGTAACCTTTTTTCTCTAAAGAGATAGATGATGTTTTAGGCTTTGCTGCCCGTATATAGTTTTTATTGAATATATTCTTCATTGTTTATTTTTACAATCCTTCAAAAATATAAAAAACATTCTTAGTTTGAGGGCTGTACAAAAACAGGCCATAGGCCATACAAAAGCAGGCTGCGTGTTGTAGTTATTCAGGCCTCGATCTAGACTCCAAGAGGCTGGTCCTAGCTTAGCTGTTCTGTGTATTGCATTGAACAAGTCGCTTCTTTGGGCCTAATTACTCATCAATAAAATGAACAGCATGAATTAGGTATTTTTAAAGTACATTTTTCTCAAATTTATAATTCTAAGATGAATATTAACTTTACAAAAGTCGGGGCTGTAGGTGATGGCTGAGCGCCTAAGTGGAAATAACTATTAGGCTGTTTGAATCTAATTCAGGAGTCACTCCTCCCAGTTTCTAGTGAAATACTTGCAACAGCCTCATTTTCAGTCAGCTGTTTGTAGTTGTTGGGATGTGCTTTCTTGGAATAAACCTCCATGATTAAGTCCACTTTCTTTTAAATATCACTACTATATTACAGCCCTCTAAATCTTAAAATATTTTAAATTTTTTTTTCTTCACTCAACAAGTAATTTTTGAGTGCATGTTTTGTCCTCTGTGCCTGTTAAATTCTGGGTATAGTCTCTTGGTGCTTACAGTTTAAATGTAATCTTTAGTCATGTACACCCATTGCAAGTGTCTTCAGTCATTGTTCGTATCCTGTGATTTCTGCAACCCTCACTGAGCTAATCACCTTCTGGCATTAGATGTGGACGTGGAACAGGACCAAGTTCAGACCTGTAGATGTGTAGATCTAGGAATGAAAGTAGCTGAAGTTACAGTAATAAGATCTCAAAAGAAAAAATCAGAAAGCCAAAGACTGAACATTTTAGGAGGTGGGAATAAGAAAAGGACATAGGAAAAAGTACTCAAGGAACTTCTAGAGGTAAAAGGAGAACCTAGAAAGTGTAGTGTTATTGGGTCAAAGGAGAAAAGAATTCCAGGAAGGAAAAAGTGAATTGGCAACATAACTGTGTAGAGAGTTAAGGAGAATGGAGACCTGGAAGCAGTTGTAAAACAACTCATAGCCACGTGTTTTTACATATTCTTGGTATGTGTATTAAATTAGAATGCAATTTTATTTTTAAAGTAATGTTTCTTAGTTAAACAAGCTTGATATGTTGTATGTAATATTGAAATTTAGAAATTTGAAGGAGATACTACAATCATACACTAACATGTTAAATTTCCGTTTTAAAAAATAATTTTATCGTGAAATGGTCAGTTTAAGTTACCCTTTCTTAATTTCCTCCAAAATCTTAAATCCGTGCATTTGTTTGATTTTTGTTTTTTCATTCAGAACTTGTATATATTCATTACATAATTGTATCCATGATTTGCACCTTTAATTGGACTGGATTTTAGTACAACTTTTTAAACAATTGTTATTAGAAATTTCACTTGTCTCTAGTGTTAGTCATAATTGCATTCATTTCTGTGTAATAAGTAATACTTAAGAGGAGATATGGAGGCAGGTGTATGTCTCTGTGTGAGAGAGAGAGAGTGTGTGTGCGTGTGTGTGTCTGGTGTTTTAAAGCTCTTCCACTGAAACCTTTAAGCCACTTTTCCATAGATTCACGGTAATACGGCTTCTTTAACTTTACTATCTTTCTTTCTCATTTAAGTGACTTGAGGTCATCCAGGGCACGGCTGCTTGAACTGTTCACTGATTTGAGCTGTAATCCAGAAATGATGAAGAACGCAGCGGATTCATATTTTTCACTTTTACAAGGTTATTTATATGAAGTTTTAAGGTTTTTAAAAAGAACTACAGAAGTTCACATTTAACCTTTAGACTTTTCATTGAATTGTTTGGTCTTCCAGGCTATATACTTTGGTATGCTTGTTCAAATATGTGAGAATATAAGGGTGGTGTGTGGTCTTTCTAATGTTTTAAAAATTAAACGTGTACAAATTTCACGTTATGTTACCTCAGGAGAAGGCATGGGATATGGAAGGGTAGAGAGGGGCTAGAACTTTCGTTCAGGTGCCTGGAAAAGTGACTATCTGAAAATTCTTCTAAATAGAACATTTGATGTATCTTCTAAAACTAAAATGTTTTCTACGTTTTTTTAGGTTTCATAAACTCACTGGATGAATCTAGCCAAGAAAGCAAGTTACGATATATTCAGAATTTCAAATGGACTGATACATTACAAGGACAGATCCCAAGGTGAGCAAGGCTATCAGAGTACTAAACTGAGGCTGGTTATTGTAACTATTTAGCAGGTGACCAATTCATAGCTTCTGTATTTAAAGAAGAAAAATTTAGATCTAATCAGCATTTTCTCTTATCAGGAAATTAATTTAAAACATTTACTCTAAACTCCTAACACGTTCTATTAGTTAAAAATATAATTTGTTTCTCCTGGACCAAATCTATTTTGAAGACATTACAAGTGTTAATTAGAATTGCTCAGCCTTTTGATAACAGTGTTCTGAACACACAAAGCATGGTTTGGGGATTTGGAACCCACAAAGCTGGCTTTCAGTCTTCACCTGCATTCAAGCATAACAAAACTTTGGTTTTTCCCCTACTTTTCTTTTTCTGATGGACAGTTCAGATATCTTTGATCAGCTCTTTCTCTTCCCCCTACTCCCCAGTTGTGCCCCAGTTCCATATTCTCTTAACTCACAGTATTTGTTTTCTTCCTAATTTCTCATCACTGCATCTGCTGTTTTGTAAAACTTCCCAGCAGCACTTTCTCATCACTCACTTGAACTAGTTATAGGTTCATGAGGAAACAAATCATAATTGTACCACTTTTGTATTTAACCGTCTTTTTTATACTGTTGGGTTCTTTAAATGGTCAGATATCTTCATCTTAATCTACTTTAGAATCACCTTTGTAGAAATACAAAAAAAAAAAAGGCAGGACTTTAATTAGAGATTGCTGAAAGGCCAGGGCAGACTTCTTTCAGTGGAAGGAGTGTGGACTTTGGATTCATATCTAGACGAAGTCCTAAGGCTGCTGCCGTGGGAACAGCTGGTGTTTCAGGTGTACGTTAGGGTCACAGATATTTTGTACAGTTCTTGTGAGGAACAAAATAAGAAAATTTATGTTAAGTGAATAATATAATGCTTGGCATATAATAGGCATTCAATAAATGTTAGTTTTCTTCCTTCCTTGTGAATAATATACACAGAATTCATAAGTTGGGTAAGAAATGTGCACCATGATCCTTTCCAAATCATCATATTCTGGGATACTATGGTTTTCCAAGTCCTCATTTTCTGTTTTTCTTTATATGACCCCTTTGTTCATCCCAAATTAAAGAATATACCCCCCAAAATTACGTTAATCAAATCTCCTTATCTTTATTACATTGGAAAACACTGGCAGAATTTAAAATGTTTTGCATTTCACAGATTTGGCACTTTTGCCCCCAGCATGCCAAATTTTGATTCCTTGTAAAAGCTAGTTACTATTCAACATTGTTTCAGCACAATTTTATGAGACAATGAAGCACTATGCGATGAAGGCCGTAAGTAATACTTAATATCGAGTACATCTGAAACTTCCCAGTTACTTTATGCGGGATAGCTACTTAATAGAAAATGTGCTGTATGTGTTTTGAAAAATATTTTTTCAACTGTGCATACTCTAATACTTGTGGTGCAACAGAAATGGAGCATTTTAGGAACAAAGCAGATTAAAATAAATGAAGGCTAAAAAGGGAGACCGTTACTCATGAGTATTCATGTAAATTAACAAAACTATTGTATGAAGGTAAAGTTATAAATTCCCTATGTCCGTTAGAGCACCACTTAAAAGCTTTCAGTGCTGAAAAGAGTAAACTGTTAAGCTCTGTGTTAAATTTTTTTCAGGAGGATAAAACTGTTATTTAAGAAGTTTGTTCATAACTGTCACATTTCTTTATGTTATAATGTATACTGAACAGGATAGTTTATAAATTATTTTCAGATTACTATGTCTTTTATAACTTTTTTTTTAAAAAAATCTGAGAAGTGTCCCTGTCTCCGTTCCTTTTAAGAAGGGGACAACAACATTAGTTTCTTTTTCTCTTTGGATAACTTTTCTGTGTGTTAGTATTAAATGTGTAAAGTAGGGCTATTACTTCTGCTTTATTCATCATTTGAGATGAATGATACAATGTAGAAAGAATTTTCAGGTTCTTATAAGAATGATAGTGAATTGTGTTAATGTCTTATTTGCTTAATATAGTCTTGCCATCTTTTTTATGTTATGTTTAGTAATAGAATGTGAAGAAACAAACAGGTATAAAACATGCTTGTTTTTGAGCCCTTTTTCTTTGTGGTATGCTATTGTCTTGACATTCAAGGTCTTGTAAACTTTGACTTCAGCTTGGCTTTTTGCCCTTCTTCAGGTTCTTTTTACAAATGGTCTGCTGCGATCAAACTGGTCTGGTCACTACAATCAGAAAATCTTGGTATTTTCCTGTGCTTTGACAATACCACCCCCTCACTGGGGATATCCTTCTGCTTTCATTTTAGCTATCTTTCAAGGCGCATTTCAGATTCTATATATATCATCAAACCATCTTTAACATTCTAGCCTGAAATGATCTTTCTCCTCTAAATTCCATTTTCTTAAAATGTGGTATAAGAACCTCCTGTTCCAGAATCAGCTGTGTACTTGTTAAAAATACGGATACTGGGCCCTACCCCACACTTTTTGACTCCCTGGGATTAAGTCCCAGAAATCTCTATTTTTAAAGCTACTCTGTGTACCGTAAACTTTGAGAACCACTAGTCTCATGCTTAAGGAGCCCTGGTGGTTCAGTCGTTAAAGCACTTAGCTGCTAACTGAAAGGTCGGTGGTTTGAACCGACCAGCCACTCCGCAGAAGAAATGGCAATCTTCTCTCATAAAGATTACAGCCTTGGAAACCCAATGGGGCGTAGGGTCATTATGAACCAGAATCGACTCAACGGCAGCGGGTTTGGTTTGGATTCTCATGCTTAGTATGAAGCACGTACTGGGGTGTTACATGTAGCTGTTTATTGTTAATTACGTGTGTGTGTGTGTGTGTGTGTGTGTGTCTGTGTGTGTGTCTGTGTGTGTCTGTGTGTGTCTGTGTGTCTGTGTGTGTGTGTGATGTCCCATCTGTATTAAACACAGGGACTACTTTTTCTGCATATATACCCCACAGTGCCTCTGATACTATCAGTTAGCATATAGTTGTTTATAATTTTCAGTTGGATGCACAGTAAGCTTCATGTAGAGATGTCTTAATAATTGACAGAACTTAATTTATTGTATTTATAATTTTAGTGCCCAGCAGGATGCTGTTTTTGAATTAATTTCCATGGGATTTAATGTAGCTTTATGGTATACCAAATATGCTTCAAGACTGGCTGGAAAAGAAAAGTAAGTTCAAAAGAGGGGGTTATACACATGTTATTTTTCAAATATACGGAGCTTCGTCATTAAAATGTCTAGGCTATTGATAAAAGGTACTACTTTGGCCGGGTGGGAGCCCTGGTGGTGCAGTGTTTAAGAGCTACAGCTGCTAATGAGAAGATCGGAAATTTGAATCTACCAGTTGCTTCTTGGAAAACCCTGTGGGGCAGTTCTGCTCTGTGCTGTGGGGTGGCTGTGAGTGTCGGGCAGTTCCGCTCTGTGCTGTGGGGTGGCTGTGAGTGTGGGGCAGTTCTGCTCTGTCCTGCAGTGTGGCTGTGAGTGTGGAGCAGTTCCGCTCTGT